GAGTGTAGTGACTGGGAAGGAGGCCGCTTGGGACGGGGTCCGGATCACGAGTGCTGCCCAGCATTGGAGCCACCGTGTGTTTGGGTCTTCGAACGTTTGAAGCTTGTGCTGATGTTCTTGGGTTTGTTGCCTTGTGCTGGCAGGTGCTCACCCTTGCTGTTACCAATAAGCTTACCTCAACTTGTTTGATGTTGCATTATTGAAGACGCTCAGGGTGAGAGCGGTCCCGTGGCCTGATGATGTTCGGGTAGGGTTTAGCGTCAGCTGCTTAGGCTTGTGGGGCCTGTAGGTCCTCTAACCTGGGTCTTGTTGGGTTCCCTCTGATTGGGTTGCTTAAACCCTGGGGTCATGTTGACCTGGTGTTAGTTAGCCGCAGTGTGCTCAGATGTGAGGTGAGCTGTTTGTCAGTTCATGGCACTGCGGTTGATTGGTTTTTGACCCGCCCTCCTCCCTAAACCGGGGGGGTGTTTATGGTCCCCATCATGTTAGGCATGCTTGGGCCATGGTGGTCTGTGGAACAGATCAGGCCATGGTGGTCTGTGGAACAGATCACCTGGCGTGTTCCCCCCATATCTTCCAGTCTTTGACTGAGAAAAAGAAAGCCGACCGAGTGTAGTGACTGGGAAGGAGGCCGCTTGGGACGGGGTCCGGATCATGAGTGCTGCCCAGCATTGGAGCCACCGTGTGTTTGGGTCTTCGAATGTTTGAAGCTTGTGCTGATGTTCTTTGGTTTGTTGCCTTGTGCTGGCAGGTGCTCACCCTTGCTGTTACCAATAAAGAAAGAAAGCTCAAGAAACGACGAAAAACGTAAAAAATAAAGTGTTGGGCAGGGAGGAGATGTATGTACATGTGTGAGTCCGGGTGTGTGTTTGAATACCTAGCACTCTAGAGTTACTGATTACTTAGCGGAAGCTAATTAGGTGCAATACTTAGGGAGCGGGACTTCAGTCTTAAGCCGCCCGGGTAGAGTAGACTAGAACAGGGACAACAGAGGGAAAGGCACCGACACAAGTGTGTCGAGTACCATTTCCCT